AAGCAGGTATTTTGGAGACAAATTAAAAGTAGCTTAACATGAGAGAAAATTCAGGTGCTTGAGATTTTTAGGGAGATCTTCGTAAGTCACGTGTGTGTACACAAATTAGACAGCGTACTTAATATTATTTTTTTCCAGCATTTTTGTAGCGCTAATTTCCACTTTCAAGAATACGTGTGTGTAGAAGAAAGCAAATAAAGCTCATTCATCAAAGGGAAAAGCGTAACACTCTGTCTAATATGCTTAGGTAAAAAAGAACTTTCTATTTAGGAAGCTTGAATCAAGAAGCAATTTTACCAGTTTCAGACGATGCTCTGTTTTTTCCCCTTCGCCGAAACAAAGTATTTGAGAAGTATGCAGAATTATTTAATAATTACTAGAAACTACGTGTTTTATCTTTTATAAGTAATGATTGTCACCCAGAGATATTTTTTATGGGAAATTCGTGTTTCCTGATGTGATTAATGGAAATTGTTTTTGAGAAATACACGTATTAACCAAAGAGTTTGCGGCTAAGACACAATTGCATATGTCTAAACATAGAAATCAAATGCTGTATATGCTATCCATATCCTTTTCATAATAAAAAAGAGGACAAGTTTTTAACCTTTATTTAGAGTCCATTTAGATTTTTCTGGCTTCTCAGCTATGACACTCTTTCATGGTAGTCCAACACTTACTCCCCCCCTTTTTTCCCCCAAGGGAAAATCAGGCAAGTAAGGAACTGTAAGATTTGTTTGGTTCCCCTCCGATCTAGGATCTTAAGCGTATCGTACAGTGAACCCAAACGATAATTTTACCAAACACTATTATAAAAATCAAAACCTCTGATCTCATACAGACTCAGCTTGAAATTCTTCTCAAAAAGTAAGATTTAATTAAAAAGTGATATTTTTACAACAAAACAATTTCCAACAAACGGAGTTCAATATCAGACAATTGATTTATATTTTTAATGCTGTTATTATGTTTGAAATTCTTTCGAACTTTTAGAGCACTTCAACGGTACCTAAAAGCACAGGAAACACATACAAATATTGACGAAGAATGCAGATATACCCTTTTACAGTGGCCGTACGATATTTCACAACTATGCCACAGGCTTCAGTTCGATCTGAAACATCATTTACAACAATCAAGGACACTGAGACAGCAATAGCACCGCACTTACCAGATTCGTCAACAAACATCACCACAAGACAGCAACAGTAAGCTAACACCAGATTCGCCAAGTTTTTATTTATTTTTTTAAAAATAAGTTTACCCAAATAACAAATTAAAGCAGTTATTTGATTCCCAAAATTATTAAATGCCAACCCTTTTCTCGTATCGAGGAAAAAAAAAGAGCTTTTTTTTTATCGACCTTCTTACGTTTTTATCTACATACAAAATGTACAACGTAATCATGATAAAAGCAATTGCAAATAAAAAGATAATTACACTAAAAATATGAACAAAATGGTTCAGTAGATTTATGTTTTATTATTTTGTGCATTACTATTATTTTTAACTTTAAGTATACAAATACACTTTCAGAAAACAAATCGCAGAATCCCTAATTGCATAAAAGCTCCGTTTTAATTCACGTCTGCGTTTGAGGTAATAGTGCAATTTTTTTTAATACTTGTTATGAAATAGCTTAATTCTTAAATTCTCATTCAATCAATTAATCTCATTAAAAATTCTTAACCTCTTTCTTATTTACGCAGTAAATTATTTGTTTTCATCATGTAAGACAAGAAAGGAGACAATAATGTTGGGTTGGTAATAACTTTTATTTTCAGATATTTCTCTGGGATGATTTCAAATTTCAAAACTTAGCTTACATATGTATTTTCATTAAGACTTGTGCTTGAACAAGTTCATTAAAACTTGTCCATCAATTCAGTCAACTCTTCTTGAATCATAATATAAAGACGGATATATCGCTCTTCAGCGGTATATCCCATCATATTCATACTTTTTATAGTCGTATTCATACTATTTTTATATTGCATTAATTGTATGATTTTTTAAAAATACATTGTTGATTTTTAATATGCATTAAATAATAGTGCATACGTTTTCTTTTTTAATACATGACTCATGAGACATGAGATAATTCTTTATATCAATATACAATTAATTATTAATTTTAATAATTTTTTGGTAATCAAGGGGATTTTTATTATGTCCATAAATTGCCGCCGCATATTCCGTTACTGACCTCCAATAAACCTCTCGATAATGAATGACCTCTTTAAAATTCAATCAATATACCCAAAAAGGTCAGGACAGACCCAGTTGGAAACCCCTGTCTTGTACTACCAAATTTTCAACTTTAACCTAACCATTGTTCTTAAAAACAAGTAAGCTTTAATTATTTGCTGCTGCTGCTGCGACGTATCTCAACTCTCTGACAGTAACATCATAACAAGCCCCCCAAATTCATCATGCAAGGATTGCACCTGTTGCCGGTAAGAGTCCTGAGCACCATTCACGTGACAGAACGACTTCGCTCAATTCCACTCCAATTTTAATGGAAAGATCCCCCGGTTCCGAAGGCCTCCCTCCCCTCTTTCCCTACCATCAGGCTCGTGACTTTTCCTACGAGCAAGCTCTCGACAAGACGTTTGGCTCACCGCAAGTTTAAAGTGTCCCCAAGCCACATAGACTCGATACATTTATAAACATCCATGTCTTCTCGGAGATTCGAACCCGGGCCCATCGGTACGGCAGTCAGCGTCCCTAACCACTATCCTGGTTGGGCCCGGCTGTTCTAATTATTTTTCTCTTGTAGATGTTAGTTAAGATCATTCAGATATATATTTATTTTTATAAACTCAAAAAATAGTGAATTAAGTTCAGCATTAAAGTTAAATTCTCTCTCTCATTTTTTCTTACAAATGTAAGAATGAATGAAATTACTTTTTTTTTCTTTTTGATAAGTTACAGAAACTGCAAAAACGTTTCTCTATTAGCAATCGAAAACTGCTTATTTCTGTTTACAGTTTCAAATTATTAAATAAATTCAGAAAAAAATTCTAAAAATAAAATTCTAATATTTAAAATTAATTAACCTTTGATCAAGGAAATGAATTGTACTTAAATATATTATATTTAAGCTCCTTACTTTTCAAATTTCAAAATAAAATTCTTTAAATTTTCTTATCAAAGCAATTATTTTCAGTCACTGATAAATTTTAAACAGCATTAAAATTTAATGCAATGTATCCAAATTACTATTTGTTATCTCTTTCACCAGTAAAAGGCTATTAGTTTTCAGAAACAAATCAACCATGTTCAAATAATTGGAAAATAAAAGAAAAATTTTCATTTAGCCTATCATCTCATTTTACATTTTCAATTTAAAAAATATACAATTTCTAAATGAAATGTATTCTTATATATCTTTGTAAAAACTAAAACCTTTTCAAATGTTTATTATAAATCTCTGAAATTCATGTTTCATTTGTTATGAAAGGATTTACCAGAACCTTCACAAAAATTGCAAGAGGAATAAATACGAAAATGCTACTATTTTATTATAATACAGACTGATTTTTATATTCCATTATGTTTCAAGCATTAGATATATTTTCATTTTTCGAAATATATAACTAGTGATAGATAAAAGCTCAAAGAAGAAATTTATGTTAGGGTATTATTATGTATTATAGAATTTCATTAAAAAATATCGGTATCTATTTTTTTTCTTGGTACTTCAGACTTCAATTTATTTGCCAAAAAAACTTTCTCATTATAAAAATATGTTATTATAAAGTCAAAAATCTTTGTTATTCATTTTATTTTATTTTTCTCAAAACTCAAAATGTATTGAATAGTGCTTTTAGTTTATGTTTTCCTGTAACTGTAGAATTGGGTATTGTCTGTAGTGACAAACAATCATAATGGCAAGTAGATGGAGCAGATTTTATACAGTTATTGAAAGTGAAGATATAAGGTATTTCTCCCGCCTTCTTAGTATGCCTTCGTGGTGTAATGGTCAGCACACTCGGCACGCATTCGAGAGGTCCGAGGTTCGAGTTCCGGCGAGCGCATTGCTCATTTTTCATGACTCCTGCTTCGAAATAACCTAATGTTTCAACAGTGGTGCCCGAACTAAAATCAAAGGTTGTGGATGACGATTCTCCACCACCAGGATTTGTCGATTGGGTCCCCTAATCCCCAGTCGTCCTTTAAAAGGGGGAGTATATAAGGTATTTCTCCCGCCTTCTTAGCATGCCTTCGTGGTGCAGTGGCCAGCACACTCGGCACGTATTCGAGAGGTATTTTCCCGCTTCGAAACAACCTAATGCCTCTACAAAGATATGAGGAAACATACCTTTGTGGCAGCTGGAGTTGGACTTCAAAATATCCATTAAGAAACCCCAGTTTGGATTCCGCATAAAATACTTCTGTAAATTATATTAAATTTTCTCACAAGAAGAAAAGCATTTCGCCATATATCACATAGAAACACAAATGGGAGATAAGATACTCTCCACGAAGAAGGATAATTGGAAGATAAAACAATTGAAGATACTCTCCAAAGAAATATTTGCTTAGAAAATTAATAAAACCTCCTCTATTACAGAATATGCCGAAGCTAAATAGGAAGCAAATTACATCGGTCTTCTAGGTAATAAGAACTGATCAAAGCAATTTGAAATTTCACATATTATTTACACTGCATGCATGCAATTTCTAACAATAAATGCTATAAAATTACAAAATTGTTAAAGATTGAATGAATATTGAATGTAAAAGATTGAAAGAATTAATGAAATAAAGGCAATAAATAACTTATTTTTTAATTTGTTTTCCATAACTATTCGTAGATATTTAAATGTGTACAAATGTAAAATAAAAGAAGAATGCTAGCTGCGTTATAAGAAAAAACTATATTTTATAACTATATTTTAGCCTTAAATATCAAAAGTTATCTATTCTTAAGAAAACATTTATGTTTTCAGAAAACGAATATAATTATGGCAGTGATATAGAAGCATATATTTTACCTCTGCTGGTGGTTTTCCTGCGTGTGATTCGCATGTCAGCTCTACTGTCATGCCAGCAGTCGTTCGGAGAAAGTCGCCTTGTACTATTTTCGGTGGCTCTGGTGGAACTAAGGGGAGAAAAACAAAATTTAGCCTATCAAGATCGCATTTGTACAATACCATAAGAACATGTTAGAAAATGAAAGCACATTTTTATTTATATATTTAATAATAGACAGAAATTTGTATTTTTTCTTAAAAGTTTGCATATTTCATAGTTATGCTACCTGACATTTAAAATGTCTCAGTGAACTTCAAAGGTCAATTGAAACGCCTTAAAACTTAAAGCTTTAACATTCTCTGAGATGCCATATGAAGAACTGAAGTAAAGCAAAAGTTAAAAGGGTGTTTTAATTCTGTGTGTATATATAAAAGGGTAGGTAATTTGTGTCAAAACAAGCATTTATCTAAGAAAGAAATGCTTTCGTGTATGAATTTACAAAGAACTTTTATGTACGAAACATCTACGAAAACAACTGCACATCTGGCCCATTCTTACAAATAGAATTCGAACACGGGACACAATTTCCAGTGCACAACAATTTTAACTTTTAGGTCACTGATGATGAAGAAATGAAGTTGTAATGCGTTAGTCTTCTCGTAATAACTAAGGGACATAACATGTATCTAACAGTCCGGACCAGCTGTAGTTAATATGTATTTAATTTAATTGTACAACCGTCATTACGCATTTCAACAATGAACACATTATACATGACAATAACAGTACCTCCTTGTAAGAAACAGCAACCTTGCCGTGCTCAGGACAAATTAGTTGTTAGCATTTTCCCCTTAGTCTCCACCATGTACCTTCTTTCCATGTTCTGGTCCTTCTTCTCCGGTATTCCTCACTTAGTCACTTCCCGGAGGACACAGCAGCACTAAGCTCTAAATGTAATCAGTACCCGGAGGACAGAGTACTAAGCCCCCTGTTTGATCCTGTAGATGGAATCTACAGGATCCAACAGGTTGAAGAGCACCTAACTCAGTGAGCCAGCTATTCCGTCGATGACGTAAAGTAAAAAAGTCCAATCAGCTAGCTTATAGTTTCTTCTCAATCAAATCACTCCATAAAATACATAATGGATATAGTTTCCGGTTTCTGTTTCGGGCAAATGGATAAGTTTGCTGCATAGGCTCTTAGCACCTCTCCCCGTGTGTAAGGTTAATGCTAGTCAATTAATCAGAAAATCCTCCAAGACAGCATCCTTCCTGAGACAGACAATGCAGCAATAAATAATCTGATCTACGTAAACTTAATCATTTCAATATAATTCTAAGAATATTTCGAATTTCTAATAGATAATTGTGGGCCCATTAGTAAAATATCTGAACACTGGTAATTTGTTCTCGGTTGATTTATGGAGGATTGTTTTAGTTTCAGGAAGTATTCCAGAGTGTTTCCTTTCCAACTAAGTATCATATGAAATCTTTTATAAACTTAACAGCAGTGATGGAAATGTAAAACAATGATGAATTTGTAATAGTGAAGTATTTCATAAAGGCTGATAGTTAATATGTTTTAAAATACATAAAATAGTACTATAAAATAGACAACAACTTATTTGTAAAATTCATAAACTACTAACTTAAAGATTGCCAACAATATTATACACGAAAAGTAACGTACTAACACTCAAGCATGTCATAAAAGAGGAACAAAAATGCAGTTCAGCGTTCTTAAGCTTTAAACATTTCAGAGAAAAATTAAGCCATTTTAAGATTTGATTCAACAGAATAATTCTATCATCATCAAAGACTTCCTGATAATCGCAAATACTAGCGAAGAGATGATAAAAAAAGCCAACAATATCGCAGTCAAAAGTTTGGTTTTGCAATCGTAAGCAGAACACTTGAAGGATTTAAGAATGAATGCAACAGTGCGCAAGCGTCAGAAAATGATGTTTTGTAAAAATTTATTTTAAGCGTTTACATTTACCCTTTTCAGACAGATTACTTACATTGTTTACAAGAATATATAAATCGCAAGCTTCTGCTGATCACAGTGCCATTAAAATTTTAATTAAGGTAAATACTTTGAGCTAACTTCATCATCGTAATTTGAGAACCCATGATTGATGAAAGATAATGAACCTGTGTAGAACTATAACAAAGATAGTAAGTCATAATTAGCTTATAAGATGAAATTTATTATAAAACCGTTTCAGCGTATAATTACACTTCTAATTTACCAAAGCGAAAACTAATATTTTTAGACAAAACTTTTATCGAATTAGCAAACCTGAAATGATGTACAATGACTCTTGAACAATATGGACCTGTATGTGTATGTTATGGATATGTGTATTAATATAAACATGTATATGTATGTTTTTTATTACACCAACTGGAAAATTCTTTTTCCGAGTTTTGTGACAGATTAAAAAGTCGCGGACAAATTGTATTATAAAAGTGTAAATAAAAAATGATTCTGTACAATTAAACAATACGTGGTGTTAGAAACATTTTTATTTATTATAATTATGCATAAAAATTCACAACTACTCATTGGATAATTTATAAATTATACGTACATTAAATTATATCAGTTATATATAGTATTAAAAGAAACAAGTTTTAAATTATTAAGAAGTATGTTTATAGATTTAAAATCGCTCAGTTTGTTAAGCAAATGCAGACTGAATAAATCTGAAAGATAAATTAAAGATTTACACTTTTCTAAATGGCAACACTATGAGAACTGGCTATTTTCAGAAGCTCATGGACAAAGATTTTATTTTTCGCATTATAATAACATTTTCTAAGCCACATGGATTTTAAACAAATGATAACGTGATGTAATGCAACGAACGTAACGATCCAAAATTTTTCTGCATTTCTTTTAAAGACGTTTTTAATGATAAAACTTAAGAAGAAACATTTGGGCATGTTATCGAATGCATAAAATATATCTAGAGGTTTAGCTTGTTTATTATTTACTACCCCTAAATATTTAGAAGTCTGTTAAAAATGTTCTTTTTTCAAGCCTGTTATTAGTAGTATGAATAACATTTGCAACTGTTTTGTGTATATTAAATAGTATGCTATTCTAAATAGCCGGACACTTGCAATATTTTTTCCTTCCTTTTCTCCAACAGATGGGCGGCCGATCCACTAAGGCGTTAGCGTATTAGCCATTTGGTTTGGTTTGGTTTGGTTTATTTGATAAGGGCAAAGCACTCGAGGGCTATCTATTTAAGGGAAGAGGTGTTTCGTGAAGAACTTTCTAAGGGAAATTGGCTCGTATACACGTTACACATGGAGAAAACCATAGCATGTCCGCCGAAAAGACCCACTGTTGTTAATTATCTGTGACACAATGGCTAGGAACAACGGACGGAGTTTTTACTTAGCACGGAGTTTTTGCCGAATGCATAATATGCATTTCAACTGTCGAAAGTAGAGCAGACGACTGAACAAAATAGTAATAAATTTTGACAACTAATTGTCGAAAAGATGCATGAGCAAATGCAACAGAAGTAAATAACTAAATCTATGAACGAATGAAAAATAGAAATAAATAAAATAAAAAATTAGTAAGTAACTTACATAAAGCAAGTTGTGTCATACTGCTAGTAATTAAATAAGTTTCAGTTTTAAAACAGAGGAACTCAGTGAATAACGCAAAGTAACCACCACATAACAAACACGGCCGATAATACACAGCGAAGACACTATATTTATAAAGCTTCAAACAGTTGAATAAGATGGGAACCTTATTGGAATATACTAATCGCAGAATAGGTAAATTTACAACATAATTCCATTACACAGCAGGAAAAGATACTCAAACATATCAAAACAAAGTCGCAGTAGTAAACACTTTATTGACTTAATGCAAATAAAAGAGCAAAGAAATGCAAAAATTCATGTAGTATTAAAAAAAGAATGGCAGAGAAAATATAATAAATTACATTTATTAATGTAGACATTAAATAATGGCTAAGCAAAATTACATATTCTCGTATGCATTTGAGAACAAGAGAATTTTTTAATGGTTTGTCTGCCTATGCTGTTACATTTGCATCCGCAAGTTTGCGGAGATGATATTTGCCAGGTCAACTGAAAAAAAAGTGGTCGAGTTCTCCGACCATTCCATAAGCAAACTTATCATCAGCAGACCGAGCCGATACAAGTCCATAAATGGGCCGTGACTGGTTAAATATTGAGTGTAGGGTGAAGAGCCACTCATGAGTTGCCATTGCCATTGTTTCTGGATCTTTCTTACGAGAATATTTCTGCTTCTGTGGCCGATGATGGTCTTTCATTCAGTATGGCCTTTAGGTCCTAGCCTCGAAGTGGTACATTTATTGTGCTTGTGTGAGGGCTGGTCGTTACGAGATAAATCCACACTTACATTTCTAGTGATTTCTGTAAGAGCTGGAACCCCACCGCAGTTTCGGCCTGACTGGCACACCAACGAAAATTTTCTCTATCTTTCTTACTAGGATATTTCTGATTCTGTGGCCGATGATGATTTGCAGAACTAGAAGCAAATCTGTATAAATGGTGCGATAGTGGCTAGATGATGGGAAATCTAATGCGGCCTTCAAGACTGGGAGTTCAACTTGAGAAACCTAATTCCTGTTGTTGAGTTTCCTTGCCTAATATCTTATTATTGCATCAACATCAATAACCTAGTAATGAATGCATTCGTGGAAAACAGCCAAAATCCTTTGGTCATTTAGTTATCACATGATTGAAAACATTCACTAGGCTGCATCACAGTAGTGAAGGAATTACATCTACGAGAAAAAAGAAACTCCAAACCAATTCGAAAGAGAAATCCCAGAGCATGGATTCGACAGCATGGACCCCTCTTTCCTTGCCACTTGAGAGGACTTTCAACTCGGCAGTATTTTAAGTACTCCCTGCTGCAAAGACATTTCACATTCACAAAATATCCATGCTTTTTGGAACATTTAATCTACGGCCCAAGGCTATAGAAGTCGGCTCCCATGCTTTCAGGGTGGCATTTATAATAATGTTGATACTGGTACAAAAGGGAACAGATGGCTGACATTGCAAACACAGGTATACACATAGGCGTCGGTAAATGCTTTGAAAC